TTATAATCACTTGTGAAAACCTTTTATTAACTTTTTTATTTAAACCTTTGTTTTAGTTTATATTTCAGTCAATAAATGAAAAGTTTAGAGTTAGTTCTTCACTTCCTCATGCCATTTTGCCCAAACCATATTCCATTTTTTAGTTCTGATCTTTTTTCCTGAATCTACTAGCTCATTTTCCTCCACTTACAAAAAAATTCAAACCACCTAATCCTAAAAATTCATCCCTAAATCCTGGTATCCAGTGAAGTGACCATTTTTCACTGACGAAAAGTTTAGAATTGGCATCTTAGTGTTTTATTTATTTATTAGTTTAGTTTATAGAATAAAGTTTAGCTTTAGTCAATATCCTATGAAGCCATTTGTGTTAGGTTGTGTCAGGCATAAGCACAGACTTTCAATGTTACTGGACATATTTTTATATTTGTCCCCTTTTGTCCAAAAGGAAGGGGAAAAAAAGAGAGACAAGGTGTGTGTGGGGGGACAAAGATAATCTTTTGAAATTGACAATATATTTTTGAAAAAATATATTAAGGGGGATTGAACCTAAGGGTGCTTTACCATTGAGATACACCCCAGACCTTGTTTTTTTTTTTTTTTTAAATTTTGAGACAGGGTCTTGCTGAGTTGCTTAGGGTCTTGCTAAGTTGCTGAGGCTGGCCTCAGATTTGTAATCTCCTTTCCTCAGCCTTCTGAGTTGCTAGGATTATAGGTGTATACTACCACGCCTGGCTAAAATTAATGATTTTTATTATTTAGTTGAGAATATTCTTATTTTTTTAATTTTAAAAAATAGCATAATTTACATATAGTATATCCCACCCATTTTTAGGAATAGTTCTGCATTATAGTTCTTTGTTTCTTTATTTGGTGGAGGGGATTGAATCCGGGGCCCTATACATGTTCTATTACTGAGCTGTTGATCTCTGGTACAACAATTTTGCAGGTATCCCATTCTAAGACATATAATCAGTTATTAATTTAAGAGAACTTGATTAAAAAAATTTTTTTTTAGTTGTAGATGGATACAATACCTTTATTTTTATTTATTTTTTATCTGGTGCTGGAGGATTGAATCAGTGCCTCACAAGTACTAGGCAAGTGCTCTACCATTGAGCTACAACCCCAGCCCTCATTTTTTTAAAAAAATATTTATTTTTTAGTTGTAGTTGGACACAATATCTTTATTTTATTTATTTATTTTATGTGGTGCTGAGGATCGAACCCAGGGCCTCGCACGTGCTAGGCGAGCGCTCTACCGCTGAGCCACAATCCCAGCCCCCCCAGCCCTGATTTTAAAAAAAAAAAAAAATTATTTTTCAATAGAAATTCATATTTAGAAACTAACTGTGTAAGTCAGGATCTATGCAGGAAAACAGAACCTCACTAGTTCTTTTGAAACAGATAATTTGATTTAGGGAATTAGTTAAATAGGTATTGGAGTTCTGAAAAGGGAAAAAGAGAAAACAGAAGTAATAGAAGATAGTAACTGTAGGAAGCAAATACAGCTTCTAGGGCTGGGGAATAAAGGGAAACTGTTAGGCTTATTAGAACTTGGAAACTTGGAAAATAGGCTGGTGGAGCTGAAACCTAAATCAGGTGCCAGTTGTACCAATTGCCTTTTTTCCTATCTCTACTGAGGCCAATTCCATGGACCTCATCCATGCTAGACAAGTTCTTTATCACTGAGCTATACCCACACCACTAGCTTTCAAGAATATTTTCTAATGTAGCTTTTAAATTTCTTTAATGGATACTTGTATGTATTTCTCTTTCCTTAGTAGTTATTTGTGGGCTAACTATGCATGTTACCAGAATCAACTTCCTATTTAGACTAACTTAATTCCAGTGATATGTAGAAATAAATGTTACTTCTATACAATTTTATATCCTTTTCTCCTTTATGATATAATTGTTATCCATACTCTATCTATGTTACTTACCCATTGTTACTTATTATACTTACTAATTTATATAATTTTATGTTTTTTTTTAAAGAATCTGAGAGAAGAAAGGAGAGCAAGTCTATATGTTTTAATATATTAGCGTTTCTTTGTTGGGGGATATTGGGTTATATTGGAGATTGAATCTGGGGGCATTCTACCACAGAGCTACATCCCCAACCCTTTTTATTTTATTTTGAGGCAAGTTCTCATTAAATTGTCCAGGCTGGCCTCAAACTTGTGATCCCCATTCTTCATCCCTCCTGGGATTATAAGCATGTGCCACTATGCCTGATTTAACCTTCTTATCATTTCTGGTATGGTGGTGTATTGAGTGGTGTCAAAAATATCTCTGACACTCTTTCTGTTCAGTCTTCTTTTTCTTCTGTTCTTCAGATTGCATTATCTATACCAATCTATCCTTCAAGTTTGCTAATTCTTTCTTCTGCCATTTCAAATCTCCTGTTGAGCCCCTCTAGTGAAAGTATTACTTTAGTTATTGTACTTTTCAATCCCAGAATTTCTTATGGATTCTTTTTTTAAAAGTTGTTATTTGGAGTTGCTATTCTCTATTTTTTTGCAACATTGTAATCACACCTTTCTTTACTATTTTAATCAGTTTTCTTTAGTTCTTCAAACAGATACGTATAATGGCTACTTTGAAGTTTTTTTTTTTTTTTTATCTGACATCTGGTCACATTCATGAACAGTTTTTGTTACTTGCTCTTTTTATGGGTCATACTTTCTAATTTCTTTGCATGTGCCATAAATTTTAGATATCATATTTTGACAACTCAGTGTATTGGTCCAACCACCCTCAACAATAGCTTATTGTTATTTGCTTTTGTGTGTTTGTTTCTTGACTGGCTGGATTATTTTGATATACTCCATAACCCCCAACCCCCTTTAGTTTGGAATATATGATATAACCCCCAACCCCCTTTAGTTTGGAGTATATGATATTGTTCCTTGAGAAGTACAGCCTTGGTTATGCCCATATCACCCAGAGTGACCGAGGTTTTGGGTTAGGGTTAGGGTTAGGGTTAAGATATTGGGAAGCTGAGTCAGGAAGGAAGTGAGGACATAGGTGATAGAAGTGATAGAAGTGATAGAAGATAGGAGAGTTGGAGTGGTAGTAAAAATATGGGAACCTCATACAATCAGTGGAAAAGGACAGAAACCAGGGTAGGTCTGAGAATTTAGATATTAACTCACTACCTCTGGGGTGAGTCAACTTTAGCCCTTTTCTTTTTACCTCTTTTCTCATGATTTACATTCTCCCCCCCATTTTTTAATTGGTGCATTATAATAGTACATGATTGTGAGATTTGTTGTTACACATTCAAACATGCACACAATATAGCAATATAATTTGGCCAGTATCATTCACGATTCATGCTCTCTTTTTTGCAGAGGTGGGGGAGGGCACTGAGGATTGAACTCAAAGGCATTCAACCACTAAGCCACATCCCAAGCCCTATTTTGTATTTTATTTAGAGACAGAGTCTCACTTAGTTGCTTAGCGCCTCACCATTGCTGAGGCTGGCTTTGAACTCAAAATCTTCCTGCCTTAGCTTCCTAAGCTGCTGGGATTACAGGCGTGCGCCACTGTACGTGGTGATGATTCACATTCTTGGTAGAGAGAAAGCAGTTAGTCAGAAGCTCACCCCTAAATCAAGGGGACAAGAGGGAGGGCATTAGAGGAATTTGCCTGATTGGAAGATGAAGTTAGGATTTGAAGTTTGCCTGTAATGTTAAAAAAAAAAAAAGAAGTCCTGCTATTCTCTAGTTTCTTTTTTTTTATATAAAGGTAATACTACTTGCCTAGCATGTATATTGTCATATAGAATCTTTACATGCTTTGAAAGTATTATGAAATTTAGAAGTAGTGCAATTAAGCTAAGATAGCGATAACCTCTTAGTGGTTACAACTGCCAATGAATTTCTTTGTGAAACCACATTCAAAATTTAGGAAAAAATTCAGAGATTCTGTCCAACCTTAGAAGTATACTTGAATGATAAAGTTCAAAGCAAAATAACTTACAGGATAATAAATGTATACATACATTAAGCCAGACAATAGATGCTCTGCAAAGTTTGAGTTGGTCTTGTCTCTTAACAAAGCTTATTGAGGGCTGGGGATTTAGCTCAGTTGATAGAGTGCCTGCCTCGGATCCCCAGCACCACAATAAATAAACAAACAAACAAACAAATAAATAAATAAATAAAGGTATTGTATCCATCTTGAAAAAAAAGAAAACCCAGCTTATTGAATTGTTGCAAATCATTGAATTAACTTTTTGAGTTGGAAAGGCTGAAGAGATTTATTGTCATGGCTAGATTTACTCCATGTTCTATAATAGTTGTAGAATTTTGTTCTACATTAATTCCTGATGTTGAGGTTATAGGTTGTTACCAGAAAGCCTACCCATAGCGGAAAAGATATGATGGCTGCTCCTAAGAAAAAAAGAAAAATTCACTTTCAGTAGCATTCTTACACTATTAAATTAGGGGTATTCAACCTCTAGTGATAAGGGGTAGTGACTAAGGAATAAAAGCAAATATTATAAATACATTATAAATATATTATAAATACAAATATTATATTATATTATAATATCTCTGGTTTTGCTAATTATCCTTTTTTTAAAATTTTTGTACACCTTTATTTTATTTATTTATTTTTATGTGGTGCTGAGGATCGAACCCAGGACCTTGCATGTGCTAGGCCAGTGTTCTACCACTGAGCCACAACCCCTCTCCGCTAATTATTTTGATGCAGAATTCCTTCATTGACATTCATTTCCTTCATTTGTTTTGGTGAAATTGGCATAATGCATAAGAACAATCTTTTACTAGATAGTCAAAAATTGTTTTGTTCCAGGGCATGTAATTTATCATGTAATGTATCTTCATGAGTTTAATAGTGATAAATAATGGTAGGATTCTATTGCTTTTTGTCTGTTTTCTTTTTTGATATCTATATCTTGCCTCTGTCAATTTATTTCAGAATGATGTAAAAATGTTATTGAAAGTGAATTTTTCTTGTTTTCATAGGAGCAGCCACCATATCCTGGCTACAGTTCTAACTACTGGAATTCTCCTGCACGACCTAGGGCCCCATACCCAAGTACATATCCTATCAGACCAGATTTGCAAGGCCAGGTATGGTTGAAAATTGACAAACTTTCTGAATTTGTCCTTAACGAATGAATTAGTTTCAGAACTTGTGGAAATTTCGTAGTGGTAATATGTGAGCTTTGTTTTACTTTTTAATTTAATGGGTTCCATCAGTTTCATTAGTATTTAATTAATTTATTTATTTTTGTGGTACTGGGGGGGTTTTACCCCGTATCTCATGTATGTTGATAAGGAACATATTATCTACAGATCTAGGCACATATTATCTACAGCAAAGGTAACTTGAGGCAGAGTAAATTACTTCTCAGAATCAGGAAAAAACATATATAAAATGTACATGTATTTAAAAAATGTACATATTTTAAAAATTTTTATTTATGACAAATATTTCATTATAAATATTTGAAGTTTATACTAAGAGTACAGAAAATATATACATCTTTTTAGCTACAATACCTTGCTTTATCAATTTTTAATTTTACCGGAGTTCATATTAAAAAAAATACAATTAAAGCTCCTTATGACACTTTCTTTCCATTTCCTTAAATTATATTTATTATCCTCTTTCTGTTTTTATGCTTTTATACTTGTATTTATATCCATAAACTTTATGTAGTATTATTTAACATGTTTTTAAACTTTGAGTAGTTTCACATTAACCTTTTGCAGCTTCCTTCTTTTTGCTCAGATTTTTATTTTTCTATTGTACACATATGAGACAAGAATTTCTCTAGGGTGTGGAATTGTTGGGTTTTGGTGTGTATAGCTTTATTAGGTATAACAAATTACTTTTCATAGTGTTTGCACCAGTGAGAAAATATTTAAGTATCATCCATAATCTTGCTGTCCTAACAATAATTGTCAAAGTTTTTTTTTTCTATCTAGATACCGTATTTCTGTATGTAAGTAATTTTTAAGGAATACAATTGCAATATATAGTTTTAAAGCAGCTACATTTAAGCAGCCTTCAAATGAGTACCCAGAACTTTAGATCCAGATTAGAATTGTCTATAAACTGACTTTCTCTGTAGAATTAGTCTTCTGATGGGTTTTAGGTAGTCAAATATATGTTTGTCTCTTTAAATTTACTAGTGGAAGCTGAAATAATGGAAATACATTTTCTTTAAAGGGCTGAATAATTAATTCAGTTTTAAAAAACCTACAGGAGAATTCCAAGTTCAAGGCCAGCCTGGACAACTTAGTAAGGCCCTGTCTCAAAGTAAAATTTAAGAAGTCTGGGGATGTAGCTCACACCCCTAGTATGATGAGACCCTAGTATCTGGTAGAATACACCCCTAGTATAATGAGGCCCTCAAAAAGAAAAAAAAAAAAGAAAAATCATATTACTCATTTTCCTTCTGGTTGCCTCCTCATATTAATCTTGCCTCACAATCATTCTTTTTGGTGTGTTTTATAAATCTTAAAATCTCTAATTAAAAATAGTTTTAATAAACCAAGAATGCATAATTTTTTATTGATTTTATTATTTTTTTTTAATACACGACAACAGTAGAATGTATTACAATCCTAATTACACATATAGAGCACAATTTTTCATATCTCTGTATATAAAGTATGTTCACGTCAATTTATGCCATTATACATGTACTCTTTTTTTTGCATTCAATCTTAATACACACACACACACACACATATATATATATATCACAATTTTTCATATTTCTGTTTGTATATAAGGTATGTTGACACCCAGTTCAAATCTTCTTCGTACATGTACTTTGTATAATGATGACCATCACATTCCACCATCCTTGCTAATCCCCTTCCACCTCTTTCCCTCCCACACCTCTTCCCTATTTAGAATTAATCTAATCCTCCCATGCTCTCCCTCCCTACCCCACTATGAGTCACCCCCCTTATATCAGAGATAATATTCAGCATTTGTTTTTTGGGATTGGCTGACTTTACTTAGCATTATCTTCTCCAACGCCATCCATTTACCTGCAAATGCCATGATTTTGTTCTTTTTTAATGCTGAGTAATATTCCATTATGTATAAATGCCATATTTTTTTTTATCCATTCATCCACTGAAGGACATCTAGGTTGGCTCCACAGTTTAGCTATTGTGAATTGTGCTGCTATAAACATTGATGTGGCTGTGTCCCTGTAGTATGCTGTTTTTAAGTCCTTTGGGTATAGTCCGAGAAGAGGAATAGCTGGGTCAAATGTTGGTTCCATTCCCAGATTTCCAAGGAATCTCCATACTGCTTTCCAAATTGGCTGCACCAATTTGTAGTCCCACCAGCAATGTATGAGTGTACCTTTTTCCTCACATCCTGGTCAACATTTGTTGTTTATCTTCATAATAGCTGCCATTCTGACTGGAATGAGATGATATCTTAGAGAAGTTTTGATTTGCATTTCTCTGATTGCTAGAGAAGAATGCATAATTTAGATACCTCGGAAAGCTGGGAATGGAACCACCATTTGACCCAGCTATCCCCCTTCTTGGTCTATTTCCCAAAGACCTTAAAAGAGCCTATTATAGGGATACAGCTACATTGATGTTCATAGCAGCACAATTCACAATAGCTAGACTGTGGAACCAACCTAGGTGCCCTTCAATAGATGAATGGATAAAAAAAATGTGGCGTTTATACACAATGGAGTATTAATCAGCATTAAAAAATGACAAAATCATGATATTTGCAGGGAAATGGATGGCATTAGAGCAGATTATGCTAAGTGAAGCCAGCCAATCCCTAAAAAACAAATGCCATTTGTCTTCTTTGATATAAGGAGGGCAACTAAGAACAGAGCAGGGAGGAAGAGCACGAGAAGAAGATCAACATTAAACAGGGACGAGAGGGGGGAGGGAAAGGGAGAGAGAAGGGAAATTGCATGGAAACCAGAAGGAGACCCTCATTGTTATACAAAATTACATATAAGAGGAAGTGAGGGAAAGGGAAAAAAAAACAAGAGAGAGAAATGAATTACAATAGATGGGGTAGAGAGAGAAGATGGGAGGGGAGGGGAGGGAAGGGGGGGTAGTAGGGGATAGGAAGGGCAGCAGAATACAACATACTAGTATGGCAGTATGTAAAAAAGTGGATGTGTAACCGATGTGATTCTGCAATCTGTATACGGGGTAAAAATGGGAGTTCATAATCCACTTGAATCAAATGTATGAAATGTGATATGTCAAGAGCTTTGTAATGTTTTGAACAACTAATAATAATAATAAAAAATATACTTTACAAAAAAAAGTGCATAATTTCTTGTTTGTGTTTTTTGAGTTGTCTTTGAGACATTCTGAAATTGGTCATTGTCTCATCCTTAGCAAACATGTTAACTGCAAAGTTGATAGGTGGTATTCTGACTCCATATTGTTATTAAACATGCATGTTGCAAGTAGTGATCCCTGGACACAGTAGTTATTTGGAGAAAGTAGTTATAAACTCACAAAGAGATCAAAACCAGGAAGTAATTTTTATAATGAACGTAAAGGCTGGGCATGGTTGCATGCATCTGTAATCCCAGCCACTCTGGAGGCTGTGGCAGGAGGATTTTGAGTTCAAAGCCAGCCTCAACACTTGGCAACTCAGTGAGATCCTGTCTCTAAATAAAATATAAAAAAGGGCTGGGGATATGGCTCAGTGGTTAAGCATCCCTGGGTTCAATCCTCAGTGCCAAAAAAAAAAAAAAAAATTTAAGTACTGTAGTTAGGAGCTCCATAAGACAAAAATTGGAATAGCTCTTTAAATTGAGATATTACATGAGAGAGCAACCGGTGGAAGATGGTAGATTTGGCAGTTCCAAAAACAAGTGTTAGTGAAAATTCAAGGTGATGTTAACTGCTGATAATTATGAAGTCTTGGAATACTTTTGTAAAATTTTCTGTATTTTTCACGATAAGCACAACAGGAAGAGTTGTGATACTGCTAGGGGAAATCATTTTTTGCTTAGCTCACATCTGTCTGCACTTTTATAGTCATACCAAATAGCAAGGGAATCTCAACAGCCTTTTTCTGGGCAAGAAACTTGACCATTTTTCTTCCATATCTACACAATAATCCATCAACTGGGAAACCAACTTTAGTAAAAAGTATTTTATATCAGACAATCTTTAGCTTGCTTTGAGATGACAAATAGTGAGATGTCTTTTGGCTGTTAAATTGTTACCATTTGGGGTTGCTTCGTTTGTTGTCTGGGTTCCTTGTGTCCTTTCAGTAAAGAATTGAAGAACAGGTTACAGGTAGCAAATAAGAAGTAGGTTTATTGCAGAAGTGACAGAGATACAGCCATAGACTTCTCTGAAAAGAAGGGGCCCTAACCCTGGGAATCTGGTGGAGGAGTTTTGGCCTGTTCTTTTTATAGTCCGTGAAATTTCCTCCTTTCCTTACCTACTCTTCTGTCCATGGGCTCTTCATTATTATTGATTGGTGCCTCCTGTGTCCATGCATCTGTTTTAGTTTTTCTCTTGGGTCCCCTATTTAAAAGCACAAGTACCAAAGTGTCTGACTGGATTTCCTGCTTGTGTCTACAAGCACTTTTGTCAAGCAGGAAGTTGACCTCATCAGAAGACCCTCTCCATGCTCCTTTGTTCTGGCCTTGCCCTGACCTCCTCACTTGCTGTCTTGCCCTGGGTGCCTAGACCTTCTACTTCTTCCTTAAAATTATGTCTTGCATTTTGTCCTAGAGTAAGAGCATTAGTTGTAATTTATCCGAATTTTGAGAGTGCCGATTTTGATTTCTTTTGGAATCCAGAATGGTACTTTCAAGTAAACTATCTGTGGGGAGCCACTCTGAATGATTTGGGTCTTCCATCTTGGAGCAGAGAGGCTTTGACCATCACTATACCTCGTAGTGACTTGGACATTGCCCTGGTCCTGGAAGTTTGAGGACAAGTCTTCAGACATAGGTGTCGCCCTACAGCCCTTGGGTCGAATTACACTCACATGCTCTTTGTAACTCCGCCCCTTCTTATCTTTTTTGGATGGAACTTTATAAGAACAAGGGTTCTCCCAGTAAAAGCCCACTTCCAAACGTGCTTGCGCGCGC